GGTCGAAATGGATCATATTTATATGTGTCAGATGGCGGAGATGGAGATGAAGGCCGGCGACAAAGTCGAAACCATACTGCGCGCACCTGCTTTTGGCAACGTAATAGAAGTCCAGAGCATCCTTGCCGTCACTGGGCAGGACTGGAGAGAATGAGATGTGTCCTCTGCATGAAAGGTGGTCAGTGTAAGTCCAAGAATAGCTCGACGGACGTTCGTCAACTTACCCATCCAACCCTCTGTATTCAATCGTCCTTAGTGGTGCCATACTGGGCACTCCGGCTTGAAGGTCATAGGGAACGTCGTCAGCAGCCAAGTATTTCTTCCCCTGTGGATAGTAGGCGGTCCCGGTGAGGACGGACCCCTTGATAGCTTTGAACGCTTCTTGACATGCTTTGTAATTATGCTCGATTATTTCTTTCGGTCCGTAGAGCCCGAAGATTGCGTCCCAGAATCCGACTCCAAGCTCCTTCTGAAGCTCTTTCAACCTGCTGTCAGGAATGGAGCCAGGACCATCATACCATTGGCTTCTTGGACCTCTCCTGCAAATCTCCCTAATGATGTTTCCAATAACAGGGTGATTCTGGATCTTGTCGTGAAGCAATAGTTCGCGTAGGATATCGACCAGATCTTTCAGGTCGTGCTCCTCAGGCACATCAACGTGACATAGCATTAGACCTTCCGGCGCGGGAGAAGCCCAAAGTGTCAGCTTCGTCACGATCCCGAAATTCGACTGGTTGAACATCTGGTCGTAAGTAGGGCCGTAGCCGCCTCGGAAGAGAGGCCAGGATTTAGAGTCCTTGAGGGCGCCCATACCCGTTCTGACAAGACTCCCGTCTGCCAACACCGCCTCGATTCCGCAGATCTGGTTGGAGTGGTCACCGTGTGGAGTGTATCCCCATCCCTTTGTACCATAATTAGAGTTATTCGTGGAACGTTTGTTGGTAAGTCTACTTACCCTGTCTAGTGCATTTCCAACGACACTGCCCCAGCCTAGAGCAGGAACCGAACACCATATGTTCTTTTTCTGATCTTTGATCGCCTGATAAAGTTGAAAGAAACTCACACCGGGTTCAACAGTATAATACGAGTATTTGTCGTTGATATCGAGGACTTTGTTCATGTTCTGTAAGTCGACAATAACAGATCCCTAGCAAAATCTCAGTTCGAGCGGCTCATTCCTCCTAACAGAGCCGTCTTCGTACCTTAATGCGTGCGACAGGACCACCATACCCGAGATTCTTCCCTCTCGATACCGTCCAGAGCGGAATTTTGTATTCATTGGCGATCTTGACGATGGTCTGGATCTGCTCGACCGTTGTTGGTCGAATTGCGCAGGAGCTTCCACGTCTTTCTGCTTCGTCCTCATTCATGGAGAAAGGGTCTCCATAGCTCAGTCGGAGTTCATCACCCAATATGACAGCGTCTTCTCCGAGTACATCTTGAAAACGCTTGAGGATCTCGGTGAATGTCTCTCTTGAAATGCCAGAAGGCAGGTATTCAACAACGGGTGCTGCTTGGATCGCGTCGTACCAAAGCTTGAGAGTTTTATTGGTCGTTTCGATCTCGCCGGGAATGTGACTTAGGTTGAAAGGCGCGGGAAGAGTGGTGTCCATCTTGAACTATTTCTCTGGTGGTTGAGCGCGAGCAGGCGTAAGAGGCGTTGGTAGCAACAAAAAGGCGACATCCTCGACCCCATAAATGACTAAATACACGGTTTTGATCTTTTGGCCCAGACCAAGTGGGATCGATTCTCGTCTGCATGGCAAAAGTGGTAAGTGCAGAGCCACGCATGTCTCCTGTTCTCTTGCCGAGCTACCCTGACCGGCTTATCGTCCAAACAAGTAAAGTCTGAGGCGAGGAGTTTGAGAAGTTGAGTATGTTCCGCGATGGAGTGAATCTTTGTTCGTTTCCGTAGCGTCGGCGATTTTGGATCCGATGAAACCCTTGGCGTGTCTTTCTCGCTTCCTTGCAACTCTCACCGCGAAATCTATTACGAATGTCATCCTGCCTACATCCTATCTACGCCTTTTCAGCGTGCCGATGTCCACTCAAATGGTATTCACTAGGCTATCCCAGTGACAACTTTGAGATGTCGTGCCATTTCAACCTCTCAAATCGGGCCTAGTCTTCCCCGCGCTTACGATGGGCCTCGTCTAGACCCCAGGTCTTCTGCTGGCCTCGGAACGGTACCCCAAGATGCATACCGAAGACCCGGAAAGGAGCAAACCTCAAAAACTATGCTCCCGTTCCTCAAGGATTCTCATATATTGATCATGCCACCTGGATATCTATGGAATGACCACCTTGCATCTTTTTTCCCTGCGACCAGCAAGGTTTGCCTGGTCAGAAATCACTGCATTTGCAAGAGACACAACAGGAAGCTGTTGTACGCTACACCCTCCTTCAATGGCCACTGCTTCTGATACGCAACATGTGGGGAAAAGAGACACCAGTGTTTGGGCCAATATCAGGTTCATCTGGTTCACTATTCTTGTGGGGTTTTCTCTTCTCGAGGTAAGAATCTAACGTTGGATCTCGCGGATGAGATGACACTAACAATGGCCTACAGTATGGATTTGACAATGGCGAAATCGGTGGCTTTCAAGCCATGGTCGGTTTCCTTCAAGTTTTCGGTTACGAAGATCCCAGAGTCCCAACGGGCTGGAACATCAGGGTCCGTCTGGCTATCCTTCGTTGATGACCTGATTCCTTTGACTAAGTGTTTCAGCCTGTGCCGCAACAAATCATCAGTTCTTTCATGCTTCTCGGCTCCTTCATTGCGAGTTGCTGCACTGGGTTGATAGGTACCTACCTCGGTCGCCGACATTCCCTCATGTCTGGATGTGCACTCTTGATTGTCGGGGTTACGATCCAGATCGTTACCACTTCCATGGGAGCATTGTACTTTGCTCGGCTGATTACTGGACTTTCGAACGGAATTTTGATGAGTTTCACTTTTCTCTATGTCGTGGAAATGGCGCCGCCCTACTTTAGAGGTCTCGGATATGCTTTCTGCTCCTGCTGGGTCACCTTGGGCACTGCCATCGGCTATGTAAGTTGTAGAATATACCTGCTGTTTGACCGGAGGCTGACATGATCTTGATCGTCAGGTTATCACCAATTCGACAGAGAAGATCCACAACAGACATGCGTATCAAATCCCTCTGTACACACTGTACGCGATTCCAGTGATCATCTTCAGCTCTTTGCCATTCCTACCCGAATCTCCAGTAAGTCTCATCTTCCCCGTATCGAGCAATGCAAGGTTGCTGAACTTGACCTCCCTAGCGTTGGCTCCTTCTTCATGGGAAGACCGAACAGGCTCTCCAATCTCTGAGCTGGATTCGAAATGGCGCATATGACGACCTTGCCCTGAGACAAGAATATGAGGAAATGAAACTAAACGCCATGCACGAGATCGAGACTCAGTCGTCGTTTCTCCTTTTCGACATGCTCCGCAGCCGCAACATTCGACGCAGTCTCATTAGCGTTGGCATCGGTCTCATTAATCCTGCAATGGGAGGTATGTTCGTCATGGCTTTTGCCACGTACTTTTTCACCGTGGTAAGCTTAGAGCCCTGTGAGCTTTGTCAGACCTTCTCTGACGAGATTGCTCGCATTTCAGGTTGGGGTTGAAAGTCCCTTCAGATGGATCATCATGTGTCAATTCCTCGGTGTTTTAGGCCAGGTTACTTCCTACTTCTTCATCGACCGCGTCGGTAGAAGAACTATGTTGCTCATCGGAACCAGCATCTGCGCGATTTCGATGCTGCTTCTTGGTGTCGTTTCCACACCTTCGAGTGTACGATACTCAGAGGCTTACGGGAAAGTTGTCATCTTTTTGTTCTCTTTCTACCTCTGGGGGTTCAACTTCGGTGTCACCTCCATGACCTATCTTGTTGCCGGGGAAATCCCTGCGCAGAACTTACGTGCCTATACTTCTGGGATTTCGACCGGGTCAGGATTTGTCTTTGCCTGGCTTACCGCTTTCACGGCACCTTACTTCATCAACCCTAGCGAGCTGAACTGGGGCGGGAAATATGGTGAGTGGTTTGGAGACTCTCCGTTCGGGGCTACAGTATTGACCCGTTTCTCCACAGGTTATATCTGGTTTGGGACCTGTGTCGTGGCAATCATCTTCGTGTTTCTCTTCGTGCCAGAGGTCCGCGGGAGAACACTTGAAGAGATCGAAGAGATGTTCGACAAGAAGATCTCCGCAAGAGACTTCTCCACGTATGTCTGTGATAACGTCATCATTGCCCGAGAACAGGCCGAGGAAGTTGTCTACGGCGAGAAGAAGCCAGAGCGAGTCGAGGTCGTCCACGTTGAAGCAGCCGACAGTGCGTGAGAATGGTCTACAAGCCGTCGCGCCTACGCCAGATTCGCTCGAGTCACAGTCTCACAGGATTCGAGGCCGCAACTTTTAAAAAGGCACAGATCATGTCATTGAATGTTGACCTGACTGCTTACCCTTCTCGTGGGGGGATGAAAACAATTTCGTCTATGACTGCAATGTATTCTTCCGATTCTATGCCAATGATTGCTCTGGAAATCGATCACGCCATTTTCATAACGGCTCTCTCGTCCATGGCCATTACCCAGAGGGAGAAATCGAGCGGGTTGAGATCCAAAATTGAATATGTATCCCGTGTAACCAAGGTTTAAACCTGCTCGTTTACAAACAGGCCCGCCATGCCCATGCCGGTACCTAGGCACATACTCGTAAGCAAAACCCTTCGTTTTCTCCTCCTGCATTCACTGAGACCCGTCACTATCTGTCGGATTCCGGTGCACCCAAAGGGATCTTTGTTTCATTTTGTTAGTCCTCAAAAAGGCAATATTAAGAGAAATGGAGGGGAGCTCTGGCCTATAGGAGAACCCTTGTCGAACTGGTGCAGGTTCATGGGAGTACTTACGACCGAGCCTACATGGATCCATTAGTTTCAATCGGCATTGATGGAGAGTTCCAACCAAAGAGCATGTTGGACAGAAGGCGAGACTCACGCAATAGCACCGCCTCTCGGATTCATCTTCGTCCAGTCGAGGTTAAGATAATCGCGACAGTAGACCGCCATGGAAGCGAATGCTTCGTTGATCTCTACCACGTCGACGTCTCTTTCAAGGGATAGATTATACCTAGCAAGTAATTTGGGGATGGCGAAGACCGGGCCAATGCCCATGATACGCGGCGGGAGACCGGCAAGCGCTGTGCCAACATACTTTGCAAGGATGGGCTGATTTAGTTCCAAGGCCTTTGAGCGCTTCATGAGAAGCAAAGCCCCAGCTCCTGTAGAGAAGTACGAAGCATCAGTCTACGCCCGACTTTTCTGGGAAGTGTTCTCTCCTTCTCGACTCACCGTCCGTAACTTGACTAGCATTGCCGGCATGTGTCGTGTCTCCATACTCCGGAAAGGCAGGGGGAAGGTTCTTTATTCCGTCGTACGTCGTCCCCCATCGTATTTCATCTCGCGTAACAGTTGTGTCTTTGCCATCCTTCTTGACTGTAATGGGGACAATCTCATCATCAAACCAGCCGCTCTTCTGCGCGAGCTCAGCGCGCCGGTACGACTCCACGGCGTACTCATCTTGCCGTTGCCGACTGACATTGAATTCTCTGGCCACATTCTCAGATGTTGCACCTGTTTATCAAAAAAAAAGACATAAATGTCAGAATAAGCCCCGTATGCGTTCAGATATACTATTCGGCTTGCTTACCCATCGGTAGCATGCAGTCCTTTGCGTCTTCGCTACCGTTTAGAATCTCGTTGATGAAGGGTCGACTCAGGCGTTCGTTTCCTTCGCTCAGCGTCTCGGCGCCCACTGCGACGCCGATCTCAATGGTGCCGGTCTTGATCTCATTCGCGATAAATTGCGTCGCCGTCAACCCTGAGGAGCAAAACCGCGCCACACTGGAGGCGGCAGATGTGTTTGGAAAACCTGCAGCAAGCGAAGCTGCACGGACATAATACGCCGCTTTGCCGTCGCGAACCTGTACGATGTCAATCGCCGAAACGTTCGCCATGACAGAAAGTCCCCTCACATTTCCAAGGCAGACATCATCGACGAGACGTGGGTCGACATTGCTCCTTAGTCGGACCTGCTCTAGAATTTTGAAGACCAGGCCATCGAGCGTTGTGTCCTTGAAACCACCCCTCTTGGCCTTGCACATCGGCGTCCTGATCGCGAGAGTGATCACTACATCGTCGGGAGTTTGCTGTGCGCTAGTCATGTCCCGAAATTAGACTGCAGACATCCAATGAACATCGATTCGATCCATACATGTTGTCTACCGCGCTGGAGGTAGGAGGTAAGTGGGAGAGGACAGCGGAGAGACGTTGGGACGCCATGGCATTACAGGTGCCGCAAAGATAGCTCCTCAAGCTGGAAATACGAATTGGTAACGCGTCTTACACACTGATAGTAATAGAAGTTTGTTTATTTGTGGCCTTTTGAACTTCCTAGGCTTTGAATCGGTTGTTGAAGCTGAACCTCGGATGTTGGTAGCCCCCGCGGGGTAAAAAAGGTAAAATGGGGGAAAGCACCCAATTAATTTACTGTGGTATGAGGATCTGACGACTGAGAGTTAATGGGGCCCTTTAGTTAGCAGCGCAGGATAATCGGACCAGTGTTATTGCAAGACTTGTGCCAATACCACCGATTCACTGAACTCCCCTGCCGTTCATGGCTGAGTGAAATGCTTGTACACAAGGCTGTAGAAGTGGGGTTCAAATAGGGGTTTGGTAGGGGCAATCCGTCGACATTAGAAACGCCTACATTTGGAACTTCTATTCTGACGTCCAATAGGACGATGTTCGCATACTCAGTTACCAGCTTGACCTGGCCTACGGTGCAAGCTGCATTCGAAAGTAAGCGGCACAGTTCGACTCAGAGTATGGAGGCCAAAAGTGCCAAATAACGACGAAGTGGTCGCGATATCAAACATAGCCAATAGTATGAGACAGATGACAAAGAACCACCATGTTCCAAAGTAAACGACGCGCGTGTGCGATGGAGGCTCAGTTTACGCTTTTCAATTCGGCTCGCTGCCAGAAAAGTCACATCTGGGTTGAGATGCTGCGCCGTAGAATAAGTAGTATTACATAAGCTTCCTACAGCAAAGCGGCGTCATACCCTTCCCAAAGAGGGGTGAGTCTAATACGCAGTTTTGTTCCCTCCAAGCACTACTTCAACCTTTAGAAAACTCACTGCTTTTGGGAGGATCGACAGCTTCCGAATACTCACCGCATTTGCCTGTAATCTGAATTCCACCCGCCGGTGTCGAGCCGCCAAGATGATGCACCCGGCGCGAAAGGCGTATGTGGAGGAGGAGCGTCAGGTAAGATACTCCGCCACAAAACATATTATTCTGTGTCTCTTTATTTACATTTGCCTCCAAGGCTGAAGCTGCTCTCGCGATGAATCATAAGGGGAAGGGATGCAAGACTGACGGAAATGGCTGAGACGCAGGATACCGAGATGGGGATGGATCTGGCAAGCATCCGTAAGTATTATATCTTTAGCACTGTCGAATATCCTGACTCACACTCCTGGCAGCTGTCGATCGAAATTATGACCTTCCTACCGGTGCCGGCGGTGTCGCACCCGAAAAAGCATCTGCTATCCTCGCCCAGTTCGACCGGAAACGAAGACTGGCCATGTTGGTCGTACCCACCGATGATGGAAAAGTCAGGTCACGTTTGCGAGAACTTGGGCAGCCTATAACACTTTTTGGAGAAGACCGCGCTGACAGGCGAGATCGCTTGCGGGAGCTCTTATTGGATCAGGAGGAGGCAGGGAGCCCAGATGGAGCTGTTGTCGACGTACAGATGCACGAAGCAGAAGAAAATGCTGATCAAGAGGAAGAGTTCTACACCGAGGGTCTACCTGAATTACTTGAAGCGAGAAGAGCAATAGCTAGGTATTCACTCCCGAGGGCAAAGGCGCGCATCCAGAGGCAGAGAGAAGACTCCACAATTCCGCTGCGCACACACATCAAGCACCGCAAGGAAATCAAAGAGAAGTTACAAGGGTTTGAGCTGTTTGGAACACAGATTGCCGGAGAGCGACCCGTCAGCATCACTCGATTTGCCCCAAATGGCGAGATCATTGCGGCCGGCAACTGGGGCGGTGGCATCAAATTACTTGATGTCCCGAACCTGGATGAAAAGGTGACCCTCAGAGGCCATACAGGTATTGTTGGCGGAATCGCCTGGTATCCCGGCGCAACGTTACAAGATTCCAATGTGTCTCCGGATTCTCTGAATCTTGCAAGCGGTGCTGGCGGGCAAGGCGGGGCAAGTGACATACATCTCTGGTCGCTGAACAAGGACACACCAATCGGTACTCTGCAGGGACATACCGATCGTGTTTGTAGGGTCGAGTTCCACCCTTCGGGAAAATATCTTGCATCAGCATCATTTGACACAACCTGGCGGTTATGGGATGTGGAAACGACAACAGAACTCCTTTTGCAAGAGGGGCATTCCAGGCAAGTGTTTGCTGTCAGCTTCAATACAGACGGGTCATTGCTGGCAAGCGGGGGATTTGATAGCATAGGGAGAATCTGGGATCTGAGGTCAGGACGCACGGTCATGATCTTGGAAGGTCATATCCGTGAGATTTTCGGACTGGACTGGGGCACCGATGGATATCGCATCCTTTCAGGCTCTGGTGACGGATGGGTCAAATGCTGGGATCTTCGTCAGGTGCGCAATGTGGGAGGAATTGGTGCTCATAATGGCAACGTTTCTGACCTGAAATGGTTCAAAGGCCTCGACGGTGACAAGTCGTCTCTAGTGGAGAGCAGTGGTGTCAGACAGGAGCACAGTCCTCGAAAAGCCGGCACATTCTTTGTGACGAGTGGGTTTGACAAGAATGTCAACATCTATTCGGCAGATGATTGGTCGTTTGTGAAGCAGCTTAGTGGGCATTCGGGCAATGTCCTCAGTGTCGATGTCACCAACGACGCCAAATGGATTGCCAGCAGTGGCCACGACAGAACAGTGAAGCTATGGGGCCGTGATGATGGACAGGGCATATGAGGTCGTCAGCATTGCCCCGAAGAACGAGTCACATCCCGAACAAAGGAGAAGAACCTCGGCCATTCCGTGTCTAGATGCCAATGGAAATGCCATGACAATGCACATGCACGACAAGACTACCTGGAGAATCAATGGTTTGGTATTTACACCAGAATGGCTTTTCGCTGCTGCTGCTGAGACACCCCCCTTATATGGTCTTCGGTGCTCTGAGATCCCAAACTGAGAGAGAGCTCGATCGAATGCAATAAACATACCGGGAGCGGCTGAATTACTCACGCCGCATGAGACGACCATCGGTCGACGTCAATGATATCGTGTTATCGTGCTATATGCATAACTAAGGTTTCAAGGGGCACACGGTCAAGCAGTCACCGGGGTTCAGTGACGGGCAATACACGCGAGCATCTGTTCATGCATGGCGTTAAGGTTGTCTCCGTTCATGTCAACAGATAGGCCATGGGCAAGGCTCAGAGGGTATACAACGGTTGCTCTCTCGGTTGGCTTGCTGGTTGAAGAGCTCTGGGCTAGCTTTATCTGCAATGTTCCCGGCCTGTTAGGGAGGACGCTATCTTCAGTCGTGGCTTGACGCTGGTGTTTCGACATTTCTTACACCGCAACCGGCCCTTATATGTAGTGTAGCTAGATTGCGCTTCTACTTGTACCAAAAATCCCCAAGGAGACAAAATATCCTCGATGTCACTTTCTTTTCGCGGAGCTCAATTTGGAGTCGAAGGCTTTGTAGACCCATGTACTTGATCACGTGGGCACGCAAGGCTCTCCATAATCAATGACTCATCATCCCCGCTGCGTGTTGTGGTTGGCTGGCAGCCTCGTCGGACACAAAGTCCCGCCGGCTCCGACGCGGGCTGCTTAACAGCGAGCCCAAAAACTTTATCCGGTCAACGAAGATGCCAACTCGCCTCCCTCGTTCTGATTTCTAATTATGCCATACCGATTACTGTCACTAGTATCTTTTGTGTTCCTATTCCGAATATCTATCTGCGTCTGCTGTCCGAGTGAGAGTTGTGCGCTTGGGGCTGCTTGGACTCTCTTCCGAACCATGTCTGCCTAGTCAGGAATCGAGTTTGTCATCACGGGGAATGTGTTGCTGGGCGGGTCTCGTATGACGCTTCCCTGACCAGGCATCGAAAATCCTTCGCACATCATGGCGCCTGAGAGACCACTTCCTGTGGAGACCCTGTTGCCCTTCAAGCAAAATCGCTCCCCTGAAACACGGGCCATTCTCCAAGACGCTCAGCTCCAAGACTCGAACAGTCACAGCCAGTCTCCAGAAAGTCAGGAAGAAGATGACGGCTCGGGCAACGAAAAGCCCAAACGGCAGAAGAGATCACGTGCGTGTATCGCCTGCCGAAACATGAAGATCAGATGTCTTCCGGTCGACGGCCAAGAGGCCTGTAAAGCATGCGCCAAAGTCAATCGTCAATGTGTAATGCCTGGTCCTCCGCGGAAACGTCAGAAAACGGTCCACAAGGTTGCCGAATTGGAGAAGAAGATCAATGCGTTGACAGACGCTTTGTTAGCCAAACAACAGTCAACCGATGGGAGTAGGCTCGAGGATGAATCGCCTCCCAAAGATGCTCCTACAACTGGAAGCTCGGAACCACCCAAGACTGATGACACCTCCAATACCAGTCTAGACACCTACCAGCGAAGTCTCATTGACAGGGTAGTTCCGCAACCTACTCAACCTGAATTTAGCAGAGGTTGCGGCCCGGTCAACGTTGAAGGTATTGCCAAGGACGACTACGTGGATGTCATTGATCGGGGTGACTTAAGCATCGAGACTGCGACAGCAATGTTCAATCACTGGGCCAAGGACATGTGCTCGTCTTGCCCATACGTCATCTTTTCCCCCGAGACAGACCTCCAGGAACTTCGAAGGACCCGGCCTATCACCTTTCTAACCATTTTGGCAGTTGCAAGCCCTGTAGTTCAACCATCCGCTCAGCCAGCGCTTACCATTGAAATCAACCGGCAGATATCAGAACGAGTCCTCTTCCATGGCGACAAATCATTGGATATGATTCAGGCGATGCTGCTGAATTCTCAGTATTACGTACGACCGCGGACGGCGAGGGATCTTGCCTTTAATCAAAACATCCAATCAGCGATTTCTATGTCTCTGGAATTAGGGATAGGCAAGAGATCGAAGCTGAAAAGAAGTCCCGCTGAAGAAGTTGAACTCTGTCGCACATGGTTGGCCTGTTATCAGGCCAATATAAAGTAAGCCGTGGTCTCTAAATTTCTGACGCAGATTGGGCTGATTGTTCCGAAATCACAGCGTC